TGCAACTGTATTATTAACCTTTTGAGTTTTATATTGTTGATGTGTAATAGAGATGGTAAATATATCAGATTGAAACCTGATCCAGATTGCAACTGTATTATTAACCTATTGAGTGTTATATTGTAAGTGTGTAATAGAGATGGTAAATATATCAGATTGACGCCTGATCCGGATGGCAACTGTATTATTAACCTATTGAGTGTCTATATATTGTACGTGTGTAATAGAGATGGTAAATATATCGGATTGACGCCTGGTCCAGATTGCAACTGTATTATTAACCTATTGAGTGTTATATTGTAGGTGTGTAATAGAGATGGTAAATATATCAGATTGACGCCTGATCCAGATTGCAACTGTATTATTAACCTATTGAGTGTTATATTGTAAGTGTGTAATAGAGGTAGTAAATATATCAGATTGAAACCTGATCCAGATTGCAACTGTATTATTAACCTATTGAGTGTTATATTGTAAGTGTGTAATAGAGGTGGTAAATATATCAGATTGACGCCTGATCCGGATTGCAACTGTATTATTAACCTATTGAGTGTCTATATATTGTACGTGTGTAATAGAGATGGTAAATATATCGGATTGACGCCTGGTCCAGATTATAACTGTATTATTAACCTATTGAGTGTTATATTGTAAGTGTGTAATAGAGGTGGTAAATATATCAGATTGACGCCTGATCCGGATTGCAACTGTATTATTAACCTATTGAGTGTTATATTGTAAGTGTGTAATAGAGGTGGTAAATATATCAGATTGACGCCTGATCCAGATTGCAACTGTATTATTAACCTATTGAGTGTTATAATGTAGGTGTGTAATAGAGGTAGTAAATATATCAGATTGAAACCTGATCCAGATTGCAACTGTATTATTAACCTATTGAGTGTTATATTGTAAGTGTGTAATAGAGGTGGTAAATATATCAGATTGACGCCTGATCCGGATTGCAACTGTATTATTAACCTATTGAGTGTCTATATATTGTACGTGTGTAATAGAGATGGTAAATATATCGGATTGAAGCCTGGTCCAGATTATAACTGTATTATTAACCTATTGAGTGTTATATTGTAAGTGTGTAATAGAGGTGGTAAATATATCAGATTGACGCCTGATCCGGATTGCAACTGTATTATTAACCTATTGAGTGTCTATATATTGTACGTGTGTAATAGAGATGGTAAATATATCGGATTGACGCCTGATCCAGATTGCAACTGTATTATTAACCTATTGAATGTTATATTGTAGGTGTGTAATAAAGGTGGTAAATATATCAGATTGACGCCTGGTCCAGATTGCAACTGTATTATTAACCTATTGAGTGTTATATTGTAGGTGTGTAATAGAGGTGGTAAATATATCAGATTGAATCCTGGTCCAGATTGCAACTGTATTATTAACCTATTGAGTGTTATATTGTAGGAGTGTAATAAAGGTGGTAAATATATCAGATTGAAGCCTGATCCAGATTGCAACTGTATTATTAACCTATTGAGTGTTATATTGTAGGAGTGTAATAAAGGTGGTAAATATATCAGATTGAAGCCTGATCCAGATTGCAACTGTATTATTAACCTATTGCATGTTATATTGTAAGTGTGTAATAGAGGTGGTAAATATATCAGATTGAAGCCTGGTCCAGATTGCAACTGTATTATTAACCTATTGAGTGTTATATTGTAATTGTGTAATAGAGATGGTAAATATATCAGATTGAAGCCTGATCCAGATTGCAACTGTATTATTAACCTATTGAGTGTTATATTGTAGGTGTGTAATAGAGATGGTAAATATATCAGA